GGCCTCAAGGGAACCCCCCAAACATACACACATAAATAAAAATAAATCATTAGAAATGAATCAAATACATAAAATAATTAGAGACTGAAATGAAATGCAGAGCTAAGAGCTAAAGTAGTGGTTGGAATAAGTACTGGAATTGCGCTCTGTCATGGTTGTTCTACACTAGATTGTCCAGAGAAGGATCCAGATAATCAAGGAGAGTGTCACAAAGGTGAAAGCAGGAGTTGTCCCTGGGTTTGCGGGATGGTGCTGCAGGCACAGGAATCTCTCCATGTCAATGGCAGTATCAATGCGGATATGCTCAACGGACTCCAAGCCTTTTGGATGCACAGCTACTAGCTTCCCGGCCATAAAGTCATCTTCCTGGTTGTAAGGGGCAGTGTTACAAGGAAGTCTCTCCAGGAAGGAACCCAAGCCCACACCCAAATAAAGAAGGATGAGTCACACTCGGAACGGAAGGGGATAACCCTGCAAAACTTACATGACTGGTAACACTGTGTCTAAAAGCCGTTCTCCTGTGAGCCAGAGATGCCTAAGCAGTTAAGACTGCATACTGTCCTTCCAGAGCACCCAGATTCCGTTCCCAGGACCCCCACTGAGAGGCTCATAACCACCTGTAACTCCAGGTCCAGTGGATCCACTGCTCTCTTCTGCTTTCCATGGGTATCTGCATTCACATCATTCACCCTTTCCCTACATGCACACATATTAAATTGTAGGTGGACTTTTCCTGTCATTCCAGCCACTCTCCAAATAACCACACAGAGACTTATTATTAATTATAAATGCTTGGCTCATGACTTAGGCTCATTTTTAGCTAGCTCTTATAACTTAAATTAACCCATTTCTGTTCATCAGTGTGCTGCCCTGAGACTTGTTTATTTCATCTATGATCTTCCCATTCTGCTCACTCTGAGTCTCAAGGCGTCTCCTGATGACTCCTCAGACCCTGCCCTTCTTTTCCCCAGCATCCTCCTAGTCTGGCTCTCCCTCCCAATCTCTTCCTGCCCAGCTGTAGGCCAGTCAGCTCTTTATTAACCAGTGAGAGTAATACTTATTTACAGTGTACAAAGATTGTTCCACAGCCTTAAATATTTTTTGTTATTATTATTTTATGTGTATGGGTGTTTTGTCTGGATGTACCACGTGTGTTCTGGTGTCCATGGACTTCAAAAGAAGGTGTCTGACCCCCTGGAACTGAAGGTACAGGTAGTTGTGAACTACCATGTGGATGCTAGGAACCAAACCCAGGTCCTCTACAAAAGCAGTCATTGCTCTAAACTGCGGAGCATTTCTCCAGCCCTTATTTCTTTCTTTCTTTCTTTTTTTTTTTTTTGTTTGGTTCTTAGAGACAGGGTTTCTCTGTGTAGTGTAGCTTTAGAGCCTGTCCTGGAACTCACTCTGTAGACCAGGCTGGCCTTGAACTCACAGAGATCCCCTGGGATTAAAGGCGTGAGCCACCACCACCTAGTCCCTTATTTCTAAAATTAAAAAAAAGTATTTAAAAAGCTTTTCTTCCCAAACACAATAAAATAATACCACTTGAACTTAAGAGTACAAAAATTGGTGCCCAAAAGTCACCCCTGAATGTACATTACCACGTCTGTTGGTTTCTTATCTTCCTGTTGTGACAGATAAACCTGACACAAAAGGAAGGGTTCTCTTTAGCTTAAGATTTGAGGGTCCATCCACATGATGGTAAAGGCTGTGGTGAGAACCACTGTAGCCATCATGGCAGAGCCTGAGGCAGCTGGTCACATTCCACAGTCAAGGAGTTGAGATTGGCGCCCAGCTTGCTTTTTTCTTTGTTTAAAAAAATCCAGTCCTTCTATCAAGATATCACTTTCATTGCTCTCCCGCTCCACCCCTCCCCTAGCTTGACAGAGGTAGATGGGGTAAGGGAGAAACCTGGTGCTAGGGAAATTCCCAGGAATCCACAAGGATGACCCCAGATTAGACTACTAGCAATAGTGGAGAGGGTGTCTGAACTGGCCTACCCTAGTAATCAGATTGGTGACTACCCTCACTGTCATCATAGAGCCTTCATCCAGTAACTGATGGAAGCAGACGCAGAGATCCACAACCGAGCGCCAAGCCAAGCTCCGGGAGTTCAGTAAAAGAGAGGGAAGAGGGATTATATGATCAAGGGGGGGGGGGGTCAAGATCACGATGGGGAAATCTACAGAGACAACTGAACCAAGCTCATAGGAACTCATGAACTTTAGACCGACAGCTGTGGAACCTGCATGGGACCAGACTAGACTCTCTACATATGGGAGAGAGATGTGTAGCTGGTCTGTTTGAGGGGCCCCTGGCAGTGTGATCAGGATCTATCCCTGGTGCATGAGCTGGCTTTCTGGATCCCATTACCTATAGTCGGACACTTTGTGCAGCCTTGATGCAGGCGGGAGGGGCTTGGTCCTGCCTCAACTGAGTGTATCAGGCTTAGTTGTCTCTCCAGAGGAGAACTTACACTTTTGGAGAAGGGGATGGGGGTGAGGAAGGTGGGGGGGGTGGGGGATGAGGGGGATGGGGGTGAGAGGAGTGATGAGAGGGGAATCTGTGGTTGGTATGTAAAACGAATTAAAAAAATTTGATCCAAGTCTGCAGTCTATGAGACGATGTTGTCCACACTCAGTGCTGGTCTTCTCGGTTAAGCCTCAGTTAAGCCTCTCCAGAAACGTCCACAGACACACCCTGTTCTCCAGCTCCCAGGTGATTTAAACCCAGGCGAGGTAACAATGGCAATGAGCCGCTACACCTTATAAACTGATGAAACGTATCAGATTGTGCTCTTCGTGATTAGAATTTCTAATCTCAGAATAGCTTTTTCGAGGAGATGTGACTAGTCTTGCTCAAAACCAACACTGTATCAACTGCCCTAACCCCCACAGCTTATAAATATCAGCGTTCCTGGGGCCTGGCTCACTCCATTAACTACAGCACTGTAACCTGGGGGATGTAGCTCAGTTGGTACCCTGCTCGCCCAGCACACACGGAGTCCTAGGCTCAATCCTATCACTATATAAACGGAGGATGGTGGTGTATACCTGTCATCTCAACATTGGGGAAGTGTGATCAAGAATTCAAGGTCACCTCTGACTACACATCAAAGTTGAGACCAGTCTGGGATATGTGAGATCCTGTCTCAAAACACCAAAAGCAAAACAAAACAAGAAAGCCAAATAAAGGCAGCTGGAGAGATGGCTCAGAAGAACACTTTTGCTTTCCAGAGGACCCAGGTTTCAATTCCCAGTACACATAGCAGCTCACAACTGTCTGTAACTCCAGTCCCAGGGCATCTGGCATCCTCTTCTGGCCCCACGTGCACCAGAAATGCATGTAGTGCCTAGATTTACCTGCAGACCAAATACCCATATACATAAAATAAATAAATAAAAATTAGAAAACAAAATTAAATTTAAAATTTAAAAGTGGAAAAAAAAAGACCACATAGAAGCAGGAAGCCAGTCTTCAGTAGCTCACAAAGTGAGTCTCTTTCTCATGATAATCCTATGCCAGTGTTCAGGTACCCACCATCCACAGCCCCTCTAGGTCACACTCATGATGAATGTCTGCCAGGTGTGCAAGCACCCACCATCCACAGCCCCTCTAGGTCACACTCATGATGATTGTCTGCCAGGTGTGCAAGCACCCGCCATCCACAGCCCCTCTAGGTCACACTCATGATGATTGTCTGCCAGGTGTGCAAGCACCCGCCATCCACAGCCCCTCTAGGTCACACCACCTGTAGCCACACTCACTCTTAGTTTTTATGAACATTTGTGTTGTTCTCAAAAATCAACCCAACTTTTCAGTTTTTCATTTTTATGAAGATCTTTCTCTGTGGAATTTAGGAATTACAAACAGAAGCCCTTTGAATTGAAAAGAAAACAGCCTAGGCGCATGAGTCAGGAAGATTTGGGAGGCAGACACTGAAGCAGGTAGGCTGCAGACACCGGAACACTGGTATCTTGGCTAGCCAGCACGGGCAGGCATGGGCTGGGGACACAGTGTCTGACTTAGGGGTCAAGGCAGCTTCCAAACTCTCTTGAGTCACATCTCCATTTAATTTTATTCTAATTTTGAGATCAAATCTACCCAGATGTAAATAGAAATCTGTTTTCAAAGCATATTCCAAAGCTAAATACAGCTAATGTTCCCATGGGCTGCTATCTTACAGCACTCAGAAAATATTCCCTTCCACTAATGCTATTTATTACCTGAACATTGGTCAGTTGCTGAGGATGGAACCCAAAGTCTAACATGTCTTAGCTTTGAGGACGATTGAAAGTTGACTTATTTCAAAAGAGAAGTGACGCAGGACATGACCTTATAAAGAGATTCTAGGCCAGCATGCCAGAGGCCCTAGCTCTGCATTAAAAGGAAGAAAGGAAGAAGGAAAGAAAGAAAGAGAGAGAGAAAGAAAGAAAGAGAGAGAGAGAAAGAAACCTAATACAGACCACTGACATTTGCTGTCTTTGTATGGAGGGGTAGGACTTAGTTCTCACAGCCCTTGGTTATTGGCTCCTGCTCTGAGGAGCAGGATAAGTTCAGTAAACTGCCATGATAAGAAACAGGACTCAAAGCTTGCTCCAAAGAGCCAAGGCTACCGTGGCTGGAAGCAGCCCAAAACTGTGCTCTAGGGCAGCCTCGGGGCTTAAAGGCCAGCACTTGGTCTGTGGTGAAAACTGAGGACACAAGGTTTGTAGGCAGAAGGCAAGAATAAGGCACCAAGAATGAATGGATTGGGCCAATGGGATCAGAAACAATGACACTTTACTTAAAAACAAATTCATTGTGCTGAAATACATGTAACATACCATTTAGTGTCTTAGCCATCCAAGTGCACAGTTCAGTGGCTTAGGTTCTCAAAATGGACTGTTGCCATCACCATCTCCATAATTCTCTCCCCCTGGAAAACACAATAACTGTGCACACATGGAAAAATAGCCCCCATTCCCTCCCACCCTCAACAGCCACTGGTAGACGCCATTTTGACTCCTCTCCTCAGAGTTTGCTACTGAGTACCAACAGTAGTGGTCTTAGCTGGCACTGTGGTGACTTACGACCAAGTTCAGGTTCTAAATGTTAGATGCCATCTATTGTACTACTGCTGACTACAGTAAAATCTGCTATTTCTCTTGCTTTTGCTATATTATGTAGATAACAGAACTGACTGTATCTGTAGGTTTTACAAGCACAAATTTTAAAATGTTTATAACCCCCCCCCCAAATAATTACATCTGTCCAAGGCATATGCAGAAACTCTCTCATCATTATGCCCCAAAGGAACACAACTATACACACAGCATTTACATTGCAATGGATATTATATGTCGTCTAGAGATGCTTCAAAAGGCAGAGGTTAGAAGAAAACACTATGTCATTTCATATAAGGGATTTGAACACATGGATTTTGGGTCTAAATGAGTCCTGGACCTAATCTCACAGGCATAAAGGGATAAATAAGTGTATATATGACATTTTAAGAAATCTTAGACTCATTACAAAACTCTTTCTAGCTTGTCTTATGCATCTCCTGGCAGTTTTAAAAACCAATAGAATAAAAATACTAGGTTCCAAGCGATTCTTCATTTTATTTTATGACTTTTTTCTTTCGTTTCTTATTTCAATCCCAAGACACAGGAGAACAGCAACAACAAAAAAACCTCCTTCAAACACAATGGTAACATGACATTTTGGAGCATTTGGAAAATGCAAGTGGTCTTTGTGTGTGGATTCTATTCCTAGGCATCAGATATTATTTCCTCATGGAGACCGTGCTGCAGCAGGAGCAAGCACCTGACCTCCAGTCTCCTGCCAGTGTTTTCCAAGTGCAGGACTCAATAAGCTCCAAAGGATGTGTTTTATGTCTCACGGTGCAAAGCTTTACAAAGCACACACAGCTCAATAGAGCACTGCTAGAAGCAGTCGATAAACATAAAATCCATTTAGTATGATGCCATCTTTTTCAATGGCATGTTCCTGTCAACTAGTGGACAGGTCAAAGGACCAGGTGTATTCACTTAAGAATCTCAGGATGATTTTCTTGAGGATGTTTGACAGGTTTGGGGCAGTTGTTTGATAGCACTTTGATAGAGACTAGGAGGAGGAGGAGGAGTGGGAAGGAAGAGGAAGAAGAAGAGGAGAGGGGGAAGAGGAAGAGGAAGGGAAAGGAGAAGGAGGAGGAAGGAGGAGGAGGAGGGGGAGGAGTTAGCTAGGAGAGGTTACTTACTCCCTTCTTTCACTATAGTCAGTTTTCCTGCTGGGAGATTATAACTAATAACAGCCTGCTGACATGCGTGAGGTTCGGCTCCTTTTCCTCCAAGGGAAAAAACAGCATATGTTCATGTGAGAAACTGTGTAAGTGTCAGAAGTTACAACACAGTGCAGTTGGCAAAGGCTGTAAGTGTGAATGGCTGGAGAGCAAATCATGATGAGGGTGGCTGGCATGACTTTTCCCTCCAGCTCATCACTGAGAAGGAGAGTGTGATCTGGAGAGCTTGTTCCTGCAATCCCAGGTAATGATTCAGAGCCTGAAGAAATGGGCAGATCCTAAGAACACACGAGAGACCTGAACTCCATCTTGATGTCATCCTTGAGCCAGGAGTATGGACCTGTGGTAGAACACATTCATAGCATGTATTAGGCCCTGAGTTCCATCCCCAGCACCAACAAATAAAAATAAAGAAAAAGAAAACAATTTTTTAAATCCCAAGACCAAACACACCCCCATAACCCCCTCTCAAATATAATCTCTTTGGATTGGTACTTTATAGTAAGAAATCACCCATTGCCTGATGGTGGGGGCTTGTGCCTGTAATCCCAGCACTTGGGAGGCAGAGGCAGGTGGATCTCTAAGTTTAAAGGCCAGCCTGGTCTACAGAGTGAGTTCCAGAACAACCAGAGCTACCCAGAGAAAGCCTGACTCAAAAAAAAAAAAGAAAGAAAGAAAGAAAGAAAGAAAGAAAGAAAGAAAGAAAGAAAGAAAGAAAGAAAGAAAGAAAGAAAGAAAGAAACCAATAACAACAATAAGAAACAAACCCCCCCACACAAATTAAGAAAGAAACCACTCATCCTTCTTCTGAACGACAGAGGGAAAATGGACTACTAATTACTGTTCTCTTAACTCTTGTGACAAAATCCTGAGCTTTACATCAAGCCAGTGTGTGACAAGACACAGTGAAGAGCACAATTTGTTCTGGTTCATGTTGGGAAAAAAGGAAGTGACTCATTTTATCTTACATTACTGCAAAGTTGACTGGGGAAAGTTGAAGATTTATTTGGTCAGAGGACTCCACCTTTGCTTACCTGGCCAGGAAGAAGATTCTATTTCAGAACTTGGGAAAAGGTCTTTGCATCAAAATAATTCCAATCTAAACTGCTTTCATCGGTGCTCTAAGCACCTCCCACAGATGTGCCTCTGCTTCACAGAACATGCTGGTCCTCAGTTACATTTGCTGCCCATGGCAACAGCATCCCACATCCCATGGCTCTGTAATAAAGGGTCTTGTGTCATTCAGACCTTGTGCTTCAAGAATGTGAAGGTTGCTGGGCAGTGGTGGCACATGCCTATAATCCCAGCATTCATGAAGCAAAGACAGAACTCTGTGAGATCGAGGCCAGCCTGATTTACAGAGTGAGTTCCAGGACAGCTAGCTATAGAACACAGTGAAACCCTGCCTCAAAAAAATAAAAAATAAAAATAAAAATAAAAATGTGAGGTTGATGATGATTATCAGCTTGACAAGATCTAGGAACAGCTAGAAGACAAACCGTGGCATATCTGTCAGAGATTTTCTAATTAGCTGACTCTGAGGTAGGAACATCCACCCTAAATGTGGGCGGCACCGTAGGCTGGGGTCCCAGACTGAATAAAAAGGAGAAAATCAACCTGAGCACCGGCGAGCATCTCTCGCTGCTTCCCGGCTGCAGCTGCAGTATGGTCAGCTGCCTCATGTTCCTGCTGTCATCCCTATCCCAAGTACGATGGAATGTACTCGCAAAATGTGACCCAGAGTAAACCCTTCCTTCCTTCAGTTGCTGGAGTCAGGCTTTGTCATAGCAGCGAGAAAAGGAACTAATACACAGAGACAGAAACAGTGACACTCAAGTTCAGAAAATGTGCAGAAATCATGAACCCTCCACTCTATACCCTCATTTATTTTTAAGTGCAGGGCCTCGAACATTCTAAGTGAGCACTTTGCCACTGAACTACACCCCAGTCCTGTGTTGGTTCTTAGAAGGGTCTCACTGGTAAGTCATGCCTGTCCTTGAACTCAGAATTCGCCCAACTCAGCCTCCTGAGTGCTGGGACTGCTAATGTGAGAGGTGGCCCTGGCTTCTTCTAAGGCCCCTCAGTATAGGGAAAGAGGCATGAGGTCAGAGCAAACGGTTTTGTTTCCTTAGCAAGCCAACCTTTCTCTGGTTTTACCTTTGGAAGAGTACATCTCTTTGAAACCAGAAAGCATTTCTTCCAAGGACCTTAGCTCCTGCTTCCCACCCCAAATCTACTGCTGTTGAACTTAACAAGCAGAAATAGTGTAAGAGTTACAGACTTTTTTTTTTTTAAAGATTGATTTATTTTTGCCAGGCGTTGGTGGCGCACGCCTTTAATCCCAGCACTCGGGAGGCAGAGCCAGGAGGATCTCTGTGAGTTTGAGGCCAGCCTGGGCTACCAAGTGAGCTCCAGGAAAGGCGCAAAGTTACACAGAGAAACCCTGTCTCAAAAAAAAATGGAAAAAAAAGGAAAAGATTGATTTATTTATGTACACCAGTGTTCTGTCTTTATGCACACAAGAAGAGGGCATCAGATCCCATTCCAGATGATTGTGAGCTATGTGTAACACTTGCTGAAGAATTTATCTTGTGACTTCTTTTTTAAAAAATATTTTTACACTTACTTATTTGTGTGTATGTTCATATGCATGCCATGGTACACACATGTGTGGAGATCAGAGGACAACTCACAAGAGTCAGTTCTCTCCCTCCACTATTTGGGTCCCGGGGATCAGACTCAGTTCTCCAGACGTACTGGCAACTGCCTTTACCTACTGGGCCATCTCTCTGGGTCTTAAGTAACTTAAGGATCTGTATGGTCCATTGTCATGTCGCATAAAAGAGCTTATACAATAAGCTGTGTCAAGAATCCTGAAACAGGATGAGGATATTATAGCTCAGACATGCTCACTCTGGCATGTGCATGGCCTTAAGTTCGATCCCCAGTGAACACTAAACAACCAAATGAGCGAACCCTCCCCACCAGGGCTCTCTCCGTTGACTTTCACAGCAGCCCCATTCCTGTCTCCCTCACCTCCATTTCACAGATGCTGTGTCTGTCTGTCTGTCTGTCTGTCTGCCAGCACGGGAGCAGTGACAAAGTTGAGCCTGGGACATAAGCTTCTTGGTTTCTCTGCTCTATCTCATGCTTTCTCTCTCTCTCTCTCTCTCTCTCTCTCTCTTTTTTTTTTTTTTTTTTTTTTTTTTTTTTTTTTTTTGGTTTTTCGAGACAGGGTTCCTCTGTGTAGCTTTGCGCCTTTCCTGGAACTCACTTGGTAGCCCAGGCTGGCCTTGAACTCACAGAGATCTGCCTGGCTCCGCCTCCCGAGTGCTGGGATTAAAGGCGTGTGCCATCAACGCCCAGCGCTTTCTCTCTTAAAAGAAATAATTCAGGGGTGGGGCTACAGCTCAGCAGTAGAGTGGTCGTCTTGCATGCATGATATTCCGACTTTAATCATCACTTCTGCCACAAAAGAAGAAAAACATTCTATGGAATGCTTTGGAAGCTCCAAAGTTCTGACATTTTCTTATCAGCTGGGACTTTTTTGGTCTATAAAGTCTGGTCAGGATTCCTGGTTCTGCAGGGTGGGGTTAGTTGTGGCTCATTGTTTAAGTTAGACTAAACCTCATGGTTGTTCTTGTGGAGCCTCAGTTGTGTACAACAGCAGACCCCATGAATATGTAGTTAGTGGGTTTTAGTCACAGATTTTCAAAAATGTTTTGGGAGACAGAGGGATATTAATTGCAGTAATTTGATCATTACTCATTTTATACATGGACCAACTTTTCATACCAGGTCCCATAAATTTCTATAATCAGGAAATTGGTTTCTTAGGCTGGGGATGTAACTCAGTTGATAGAGTGCTTGTTCAACATGCCTTTAAACCTAGCATTTGGGAGGTAGAGCCTGGGAGATCAAAAGTTCAAGGTCATCCATCTTCAGCTACATAAGGAGTTTGAGGCCAGTTTGAGATATATGAGAGCTTGTCTAAAAAACAAAACAAAACAAAACAAAAAATTAAATGTCATGAGATGAAAAGGAGATCCTGAGTATAAAACACTGCAGGCAACAGAGCAGGAGAAGAAGGTAAATGTGTGTCTTTTTCCCCTTCACATATAACTATTCAAAACCAAGAATAGATGTCCCCATTCTTGGAGAATATTCCCCATTTTCTGTGGGATAGTCTGTATGGCAAATGTGTTGCTGATTGGTCAATAAATAAAACACTGATTGGCCATTGGCTAGGCAGGAAGTATAGGCGGGACAAGGAGGAGAATAAAGCTGGGAAGTGGAAGGCCAAGTCAGAGAGACACTGCCAGCCACCAGGATGACAAACAGCATGTGAAGATGCCGGTAAGCCACGAGCCACATGGCAAGGTATAGATTAATGGAAATGGATTAATTTAAGCTGTAAGAACAGTTAGCAAGAAGCCTGCCATGGCCATACAGTTTGTAAGCAATATAAGTCTCTGTGTTTACTTGGTTGGGTCTGAGCAGCTGTGGGACTGGCAGGTGAGAGAGATTTGTCCTGACTGTGGGCCAGGCAGGAAAACTCTAGCTACACCCATTCCTTAGCCATCTAACCTGAACTTTCAGTCTTTTATTGATTCACTCAAAACTTTTTTTTTTTTTTGCGTACAAGACTTCATGCTATGATGTTCTAGGCACAGGGGATCTTGGAATGAGGAAAGCATTTGAAGATCATTAAAATATCATTTGTTGAGTTTCTCTAATCTCACATCCAAACCCTTATTAAGGTCCTGTCTATTGTGCATCAGTATGTTGGAAAGTCAGGTCCCATTTTCCTGGACCATCCTTAGATCTGTCCTACCCTGGCGTTACTAATGCCATCTTTTTAATTTAGAAATGTGCTGTCTTCTATATTTTTGGACCAGGAATCCTTCAAATTTACCAGCATCAGCATCATCTAAAGGGCTTCTTAAAGCTTAGACTGGAGTTGTAGGTTATGGCTCATGCCTGTAAACTTAGCACTTGGGAGGCCAGAGGCAGGAATATTGTAGAATATTACTTAAACTAGGCAAAGATGTGTTTACATTTGTTTATGCTGCATTTGTTTGTTGCACAAATCCTAGATGGATAAAAAAGCCTGGAGCCAGATACCAGGGTGAAAGTTGAAAGATCAGAAAAACAGAGCAAGCCACAGCCATTATCTCTTACCTCACCAACTCCTCAGCCTGAAAGAGCAAGTTCCTGTCTCCTCCTACCTTATGTTGTTTTCTCTGCCCAGCCACATACTTCTCGTCTCAACCTTCCTAGTGCTGGGATTAAAGATGTATGCCACCACTGCCTGACCTCTATGGCTAGCTCTGTGGCTAGCTCTGTCGTCTCATCATCAGGCAAGCTTTATTTCCTAGATTATAAACAATATATCACCACATTTCCCCATTTTTGTCTAAAATAATAAAAGGTTATAACTAATATAAGAAAAACTATGTACAATAAATACAATAACTATATGCAGTCAAGAATTACATTAACAATGTCTAGTCCATAAACATTTGACAAATTCTGAGAAAACACTCCATTATTTGTTCTATTTTGGTGAGTCCAAAGTTTGTACCTAATTCATTTTCTATCCTAACTTGTATTACCAACTGAAAACCATCTTTTGATGTCTTTCAAACTTACACATTTTACATCTCTTTAGTGAGTTTCTTTTCTGAATTTGTTAACAAGGAAAACTATAACTATAATGTAGTGATATATTGTTTATAATCTAGGAAATAAAGCCTGTCTGAAGATCAGAGAACAGAGCTAGCCACAGAGTTAGCCATAGAGGTCAGGCAGTGATGGTACACACCTTTAATCCTAGCACTCGGGATCACACACCTTTAAATCCCAGCACAGGAAGTGATACAACTGGGCAGAGAAAGAAATATAAGGTAGGAGGAGACAGGAACTTGCTCTTTCAGGCTGAGGAGTTGGTGAGGTAAGAGATGGTGGCTGTGGCTTGCTCTGTTTCTCTGATCATTCAGCTTTCACCCTGATATCTGGCTCCAGGTTTTTATTATAAGACCATTTAGGATTTATGTAACATCTGGCACCCAATGTGGGGCACAACTTCCCACCTAAAACCTGAGAAAACTTAAGAGATTCTAGAATGGAGCTAAGAGCAGCTTCCTAGTTCATGTCTTTCATTATGAGATGTGGCATGGAGATGCGTTCCCTGGTCGCAGAGGGCTTCAGCAGCAACCTGATGGCGGCTCTCAGCCTCTTCCCGACTCTGCTTCTCTTCTCTCTATATCTTTGCTTGGATTTCCTGCCTGGCTATAACCTGTCTTGCCATAGGCCAATGCAGCTTTATTTATTAACCAATGGGAGCAACACATATTCACAGCATACAGAAAGACATCCCACAGCATTTGTTCAATGATGTAAAGATATGTTACATTTGTTTATGCTGCATTTATTTAATGATGTAAAGATGTACTGCTTTGCCTGCCTAAGGCACCTGATTGGTCCAATAAATAGCTGAATGGCCAATAGCTAGACAGTAGAGGGATAGACAGGGCTGGCAGGTAGAGAGAATAAGTTGGAGGGGAAATCTATACTTGAGAGAAGGAAGAGAATGAGGGAGAAAAAGAGGGAGATACCTGGGGCCAGCCAGGCAGCTGCCAGCCAGCCAGACACAGAGTAGGACATACAGAATGAAAGAAAGGTAAAAAGCCCAAGGCAAAAATGTAGATGAAAAGAAACAGGTTAATTTAAGTTATAAGAGCTAGTAGGACAAGCATAAGATAAGGCCAAGCATTCATAACTAACAATACATCTCCATGGCATGATTTGGGAGCTGGTTGGTGGACCAAAAGAAAGCCTGATACACAGGAGGATTGCCATGAGTTTGAAGTTGGTCTGAATTTACATAGTTCTAGACTAGAATGGAGGTTTGAATAAGAATGGCCTCCATAGGCTCTTATATTTGAATGTTTGGTCACCAGGGAGTACACTACACTATCTGAAAGGATTAGAAGGATGAGGAAGTGTGGCTTAGTTGGTCTGGTCTCATAGACAACTTCTGTATTTTTTTTTTTTTGAGACAGGGTTTCTCTGTATAGCTTTGCACCTTTCGTGGAACTTGTTCGGTAGCCCAGGCTGGCCTGGAACTCACAGAGATCCTCCTGCCTCTGCCTCCCTAGTGCTGGAATTAAAGGCATGTGCCACCACTGCCCAGCTCAACTTTTCTGTTTAAGGCAAAAAACATTCAGGAGAAATCATGTAAAACTGTTGTCCTAAAAGTTAACCTAACTGAGGAGAGTCTAGGCTTCATCATAGTCATCACCCCAGAACACTCAAAGGCATTTGGTTTCATTTATCAGAGGTCTTCTGGGGACCCCAACTTCTCATAACTACAATCAGTGTATCCTGCTTTTAAAGTTTTAATTTACCACTCACCAGCAAAACTTTTTATAGCCCTAAGAAATTTGAAGAAATGTTTTGTCTTCTCTTCTTGTACACTTGTGAGGGAAAGATGGGAAGTTCAGCCAATGAAATTGTGTTGAAAAGTTTGGGGCTAAGAAAGAAGTTTCCAAATAGGAGTTTCACACTTGGAGAGCTGGGCAGCTGGTGGGTGAGTCTGTGTTTGCTGGTTACTTCCATGGCTGAGCACAGTTAGGCCTGGTCCCAGGTGTCTGAGAATCTGCACCCAAGAAGAGTTGGAAGAGAGTGACGGACTCAAGCAGGTAGTATGAATGTCTCCTATCTTTTTTGTTCTTGTGTTTTAGTTGTATAGATTTTTTCCTGTGCATCCTTAAGTGCTTTGACATTGCTTTTCTCTTTTTCACTCTTGAACTGCCAAGACTGGAAACTAAAATGAGGGTTTACAAGTTACCAGTGTAAAAATGTTGATTAATGCTGGGCGTTGGTGGCTCATACCATAAATCCCAGCACTCAGAAGGCAGGTGGATCTCTGTAAGTTCGAGGCCAGCCTGGTCTACAGAGCATGTTCCAGAACAGCCAAGGCTACACAGAGAAACCCTGTCTCAAAAACCCAAATAATAATAATAGTAATAATAATGATGATTAATAAATGCAGGGACATCCATACACTTAAATGTTATATGGCCACTAAAATTAATGGCATAGATAAATATGTATTCCCATAAGAGATACTTAAAAGGACACACTGTTTTAGTCAGTGTTCTATTGCTGTGAAGAGACACCATCAGCATGACAATTCTTATAAAAGAAAGCATTTAATTGGGGCTCACTTACACTTGCAGAGGTTAGCACATTATCATCACGGTGGGGAGCATGGCGGCATGCAGGCAGACATGGTGCTGGAGAAGGAGCTGAGAGGTCTCCATCTGGATCCACAGGCAGCAGAAAGAGAGAGAGGGAGAGACACTGGGCCTAGTGTGGGTTTTTGAAACCCCAAAGCCCATCTGCAGTTGGAGGACATACTTCCTTCAACAAGGCCACATCTCCTAATCCTTTCAAATATTGCCACTCCCTGGTGACCAAGCATTCGAACATATGAGTCTGGAGGGAAGATATTCTTATTTAAACCACCACAGACAGTACATGGTATACTCTACATGCCACATAGAGCAGTAATAAAAGTGTTTTACCAAAGGGTGTGCATCACACAATCTCTGTTTGACAGGAATAGGAACGCGCACTTCTGAAGAAAAGCGCTAGGAGAAGGTGTATTAGAAATTCAGTAACATACATGGTGAGTCCTTCTGGTGATGTGACTAAATGGATTTCCTTTTGTGTTCACATGAAATTTATTAGTATCTGTAGTTAGGAAAACTCGTACTTCTGTAACAGAAATGGCTAACAAAACTTGGAGTTTATTTTGGGTGACTGTTGACTAATTTATACAGAAAATGGCATCCCTTTTGTTGTAGTTAATTGCGTAACACCATTTTCCCATTCTCTTATGGACATTTCTCCTTTGTCTTTCAATTAAAGAAGGCATGATGTCCTGGGGAAATCGATGGGGAGAGACAAATTTGTCAAGGTCTCTGGAGCCTCAGTGTGCCTTCAGGTAAAATCCAGATGAAATGAAACTTTCTTCCTTATGGGATCTGTTCTCTGGCAGAAATAGGCCTTAGACAGCTAGAATTCTTTTGAATCTACTTGACTACAGAGGTCTTTAACTTCCAGCTGTCCATGCTTTAGTTCCGTGTGTCCTCCTCCCCAGACAGGCGATGAATGACATCTGAAGACCGTGAGCGGCCAGCTGACAGGCTCTGAGCACACAGTCAAAGGGTCTGCTGGAAGGGCGCTTTCCCAAGGCTGCGCACTCCTTTCTCCTGACCTATTTCAATTTTCCAGACACTCACCACTCACCATTTTCGTGATAACTCCTCAGCAGCCCTGGGTTCTCCCTGCGCTTTATCTGTAGCAAAGCAAGGGCCGTGACTTGAGAGACTGCAAAAGGCTCAAGGTCAGCCATGGTGGTGGTGGTGGTGGTGGTGGGGAGGATGGGACAGGACACAATGGACGATATACAACGGACGATACACAATGGACGATACACATCCTGGGGTGGATGGGGTGGCGGGACTTCCTCAGGAGACTCTGGAACTTCTCAAGTCGTCTAAGACCAGGAGACACCCAACTTAGGGTAAAGGATGCCTGCCCAGCAACTGCATGTGCTGTTGTTAGTTCCTTCATTTGGCCCAGGTGACAGGATGGGCACAAATCCTCCCTGTCTTGGTTTATACTTAACCAAATGGACAGTGTGGTGTTGGCGTAGAAGAACCGCTTAGGGGCCAAGGAAAGAACACCACAATGCAGTATTCTTGGCAGAGTGAATGGTGATGGGGGCGGCCAGAATTCTTTCCTAGATTTTATCTCTAGCTTGTATATCCTGGAGCACTTGGCTGGCTCTGTGGCTCCAGCTTCTTCATGCATAGACAGGTAATAATGAGCTGTTCTCTCCACTTGGGTTGCATGGGCACTCTGAAGATCAAATAGCTAGTTAATGAGATTTAAAATAGGAAGAAAATGTTTTTGAAGCTGTGAGATTTTTTCAGATTCTGATGAAATCAGAGATAACTGTTATGAGAAAAATCTGCACACTTTCTACCATGTACATAGTCTTTCCTTTTTACTTCTGTTAATTTTTATTTAACACACAAAATAATGGGCTTCACTATGACATTTTCTGTTTATATTTTAAAATCTTTAAAATGTATTCTTATCTGTGTGTGTGTGTGCATGTGCGCGTGCGTGTGCACGTGTGTGTGTTTGTGTGTGTGTGTGTGTGTGTGTGTGTGTGTGTGTGTGTGTGTGTGCCTGCTTGTATGTATGAGCACCACATATGTGCAGGTGGCCTGATAGGCCAAACGAAGAGATCGAAGCATCTGGAACTGGAATTCCAGGAGGTTGATACCCTCTCAATGTCAGTTCTGGGACTGTGAACCTGGACCCTCAGCAAGAGCAACAAGTGCTCTGAACCACTGAGCCATCTCTCTGATCCACCATTATAACATTTTCATACATGTGTACTCTTTTTAAATTTTCAATTATAATTAAAAAATTTGAGATTATAATGTAATCACATCATTTCTTCTCTTTCCTCCTTCTAACCCCCTACGTACCCCTACCTTTCAAATTCATGGCCTCTTTAATTGTTGGTGTATGTATGTGTGTGTATATGGTGTGGGTGTATGTGGGTGTGTTTGGTGCGCACGTGTGTGTGTGTGTGTGTGTGTGTGTGTATGTGTATGTGTGTGTGTATGTGTGGTCTGTGTGTGTGTATGTGTGTGTGTGGTCTGTGTGTGTATGTGTGTGTGGTATGTGTATATGTATGTATGTGTGTGTGTGTGTGTGCTATGTGTGTATATGTATATGTGTTTATATGTGTATATGGTCTGTGTATGTATGTGTTTGTGTGTGTGGTCTGTGTGTGTATGGTGTGTGTATATGTATGTGTTTGTGTGTGTGGTGTGTGTGTGTGTGTGTGTGTGTGTGTGTGTGTGTGTGTGTGTGTGTGAATTCCTAAACTATAAGCTGCTGCTCAGTCTGTATAATGTTACTGGTGTATATGTTTTCAGGGCTGACCGTCTGGTCCTGGATAACCAATTGGTGTGCTCTTCTTCAGGAAGATTATTTCTCCTGCACTCAGCATTTTTTGGCTGCTGCTAGTCCTTTGTCGAGGGTTGAGGCCTCGTGAGCTCTCCCTCACTGTACACTCTTCTGTTATTATACTTGGCGTTTTATCCACCCAGTCACTCCCGTTGCCATCTCTTCTGCTGCGCCCCTTTCTCACCTCCAAGCAGTCCCCTTCTACATTCAGGTCCAAGATACATGTGCATGTTAAATCTAGTTTCTGCATAGGAGAGAAAACCTGCCATGCTGTCCTTTTCAAACTCTATTCCTGAATGCTGTATTTAGCTGACCAATCCTTTCTCCCTGCTGCACAGATGTGCTAGAAGATGGAGGCAAAAGTAACCTAATAAGCATGGCAAACTGGAAAGAGCTGGCCCAGCTGCCTGAAGCCTCTCACACATTTTTATTATGGAAGCTAAAGTCTCAGTCTCTGGTAGGTTGAGGAGGGTACATTTAATAGAGACTAAAATGTCCACACTGGTTAGTGTGTCTCTCACACAGAGAAACTAGAGCCAGGTGAGGACATGATTCCTGGACACATACAATACAAAGACATTTCCTGGAAACCCACTGACCTTCGCCTGGGACAGTTGCGTCACCCACACATGTTTGTGCTTCAGATTATAAGAATTACAGGACTGGAGACCAGGTAGTACTCTTGCTTAGTACTGCTGGGCCCCAGACGGAAAATGAGAAGTGTGTACCTCTTAGTGTGTGAGGAGATGTTTCCCCCAATTTTGTTTATTTGTCCTCTACTTCGGTCACAGGCCCACAAATAAAGCAAACCACTTCTGAAGCAAACTGTTCACTTAGTGAATTCAGACTTTCAATGACACTGTTATTCCTTGCTCTTGTTCTAAAAATACATCTAAACAGTGGGAAAATGGCCAGGAAGTATCAATATAGTTTCGATTGGATTTTAGGCCGGGAGTGTTTAGCATAGAGTGTGGACTCTGAGACAACATGTTCTTTTATTAAATGCTGTGAGAACCCAGTGTTCATCTGGAAGGACAAATAAAACTAGCAGCAGCCGGGCGGTGGTGGCGCACGCCTTTAATCCCAGCACTCGGGAGGCAGAGCCAGGCGGATCTCTGTGAGTTCGAGGCCAGCCTGGTCTCCAAAGCGAGTTCCAGGAAAGGCGCAAAGCTACACAGAGAAACCCTGTCTCGAAAAACCAAAAAAAAAAAAAAAAAAAAAAAAAAAAAAAAAAAAAAAAACTAGCAGCAATGATGACTTGCTTTGGAGAGGTGGGAAAGCAGAGGGAGCCTTCACTTCAGGAGACCACTGTGCATTCCCACCTTCAACTTAAAATACTACTACAAAAAACCACAAAAACGATCAGAAAACCCTCTTCACCTCTGTGGCAAGAAACCAGAGGTAAAGAGTGGGAGGTGGAGATTTTAAAAACTATGGAATCCTTGTGGTATGTTTGCAAGGCACCTAAGTAAACAGATGTCATTCATCATCATCAAGGACAAGAGACAGAGCCCAAATCTAAACCGTGCTCCCTGCTCGTCAGCGGGGAGGGAGGAGCCTTGAACTATTTGTTGTTCTTGAATGTCTTTTCTACCTGCTGAAGAGCTCACCTGTGGTCAGGAGACAAGGGAAAGACAAAGTCCACCCCAAAGTCCAAGCCAAGTGTCGATTGCGTGGCTTTCTCTATAGAGACATAATACAAGTACACATGCACCACCGGCCAAGGCCGCAGCCAGCCCGCGCTCTGCAGAACATTCTACCTAGAAACTGTAAAACCATTGTAACTTTTTTTTTTTTTTCATTTTTCGAGACAGGGTTTCTCTGTGTAGTTTTGGTGCCTGTCCTGGATCTTGATCTGTAGACCAGGCTGGCCTCGAACTCACAGAAATCTGCCTGGCCCTGCCTCCTGAGTGCTGGGATTAAAGGCATGCGCCACCACCACCCGGCTCCATTGTAACATTTACTCCAGATATTATTACTGGGACAAGGGGTTTGAAAGATCAACCAAATACACTGTTCCTAGGGACTCTTCCAATGGAATTCTTCTTGAGGAATGTGCTTTTCTTAGGTCACAAGGAATTTAATTAAGACACTCAAACATGAGTCAAGATGAGAACCTAGATTTTTAGATGAATATCTTTAGAGAAGCCTCCAGGTATGATTTTTTTTCTTCTTAATCTTTTTCAAGAGAAACGTTGAAATCATCCCCTTGACGAGCCAGAGACTCCATATGGGGGTGTTACACATGCAACAAGACCCCAGTTTG